GCTCTTGAATGCTCATGCATGCTCATGCTATTTTGTGCTTTTGGGGGGAGATTGTTTTGGAACCTGCCAGGCTGCGGGAGAGTTGGGGGAGGAAGATGAAACTGTTGAAGAAGCTCCAAAGGAGACATGCGCTATCATGCGCCTTCACGCATCTTCTTCCACCAGGTCTAAGAGGGTCTTACTTTGGGTCTAGCATTGGAACATATTGGAACCCGACCTAGCTGCATCCAAGATTGCCCTCGCTCGACTTTGGTCTCGACGAATTTCGATGTTTTCTCAGCAGGAGCTACCACGAGCAAGCATTGCGCTGAGTGATGGTTTGATTATGTTTGATTTGCATTGGCAGAATGTCCTTTGGCTTGACCTTTGTAGGTGTTGCTTGCCAGACGGTTGAGGTGTGCCCCTGTCACAGCGCTTGCGGCAGCGCCTAGCCACGACCATCGCCGAACAAGAGAGGCAAGTGGAGGCCGAGTTCACGGTTTTTCTTTTGATTTTCCAACCTGCCGACATTAACAAGGTCACCGGCTACAAAATGATTGAGGAGTTTGTTGTTTTCATCCATTGTGGATTGCTCAACCTTTGTTTAACCCAACACAGCCAGTCATTCATTGAGTTGGCCCGGAGGCTGTGCCAACTGAAGCTCAGAAGCAGATTGCCAGCTGCTGAAAACAGAAACCAAGACAAGACAAATCGATATTTGATTTGGAGGACTGACAGGACCGAGAGGGAGCGAGTAACGCACCTTGTTGCACCGAGGTCCAAGAGGAAGTGGACTTGAACGGAGTCGATCCAATCGCTTGGAAGCCCGATGCGTTTGAACTTAGTCCGGTGACGCACCGTGTGTCATTGCTCCATAGAGCCATGAAAAGCCCTTGCCACTAGTAGCGTCCTTGCTCCTAGTAGTAAGGCCAGGAGCCCCTAGTAGCTTCTTGTTACTACTAGCGTGGCACCTGTTACTACTAGCGTGGCACTTGTTACTAGTAGCGTCCTTGCTCCTAGTAGCGATGCCCTTTGTTCCTAGTAACTACAGCTTCTTGTTCCCAGTAGTAAGGCCAGAAGCCCCTAGTAGCGTCCTTGCTGCTAATGGCCTCCAACCTAATAGCGATAGTGGCGTCCTTAAACAAAGTTTACACCGACGTTTGCGCGTGGCAAGGCTTGTGTGCTGGGAGCAGCCCCTGTGGCGGCGTTGAGCTATGGCTTTTGGACGTTTACACAGCGAGCTGCAGAGTCTTAGCTTCAAGACAGATTTGCTTTATTTTTTCCTCTCTTGTTGCCTTTCTTTGCAACCGGATGCGGTACTGAGGAATGGTTCCTCGCTCATCCCGTGGAGACCGACTTCTACCCGGCGCAGCGTTTGGGGTTCCTTGGACGAAGTTGGACGTTTTATCCAGGCGCTGGAGGCCTGGAGGCGTCGAGCAGTTCCGCAAATTAGTAGCGATGTTCCCAGTAGCTTCTAGTAGCTTCTGAAGTACTAGAAAGCTTTTTGTTCCTAGTAAGGCCAGGAGCCCCTAGTAGCGTCCTTGCTCTTACTAGCGATGCCCAGGTTCCTAGTAGCGATGCCAGGAGATACTAGTAGCTTCTTGTTCCTAGTAGCGTCCGATCGCTCCGTTCGTAGCGATGCCGCTACTACTAGCGTCCTCTTGCTCCTAGTAGTAAGGCCAGGGGCTACTCCTAGCCGTGTAGAGCATGCCTTGGGGAAAAAAAAAGCATGTGCATGTTCATTAAGTCGGTTAAAATGCAATTTACAAGAGCTCAAGCGAATGCAACCACATTCTTCAGACGAACTCAGAACTTGGACGTAGTCGAGTTCATGGCACGACGATGAGTGTGGCCTGCCCAGGTTTGTCTTCCAGGCTGCAGTGATTGGTGGGGACCCAAGCATGATGAGTGCCATTTGAAGCTGTTGTGAGGGGTAGCATGCTGTAGTGAAGGTCTAAAGACATCAAGGAAGGAGAGAAAGCAACAAATATAGAAAGAGTAATGAGATGTAATGAGTAATTAAGATAGTAAGAACGTAAGGCCAGGCAAGGAGTTCAGTCCATTTCCTACGGCGGCGAGCCACTCGTTTGTGGTGAGAATACTGCGGTGGAAGCCATCACCCAAAATATGTTTTACACAAACAATCCTCACCAGGGCATCTTCGGATCAGATCTTCATAAGATCTCATAGGACACCTTACCATTGCACCGTAGGACATCCAAGTCCTCATTCATCCTGATTGGACATGCTTTTGTGCAGGAGGTTGTGCCGCTAGTGGTTGGAAGACTACATACTGTTGCTGGTCAAACTCTTTGCGTGTTCAAACTCTTTGATGACTTCTTCCAAGTTTTGCTTGACTCATTTGCCAAGCTGATTGGAGGACTTCTTCCTTGTCTCAAAAACCATTCCAAAGGCTGATTTCAATGGATCAGCACTCCTTCATACGAAGTAGATGCGTTCACCGAGCAACTCACTCAATGCTGTTGCCTGTGCTTGTCACGTGATGCAATTTGTAGTCCAAACATATCTTTTGGTGAATTCTTTTCCAGCTAAGTTCAGAGTTCACACATTCAACCGACGCGCTTCTTCATGTGACCTCTTACTACGGCATGTGGGGTACACGGGCCACACGAAGGGCGATGTCCTTCGCCCCACAGAGCGGAACCTTCTGCTTTTGCTTTAGCTTTTGCGCCTCGTGTATGGAATAAGATCGTGGAGGAGGGGGGCCATTCCAATGTAGTGTACCTTTTGCGATTTGTGAGTTACCCGCGGGTAGAATTCAGAGGAGGAAGGGGCCGTAGCGTCGCCAGATTTAGAGCAGGAAGGACCTAAGGGCCGCATGATGTAGCATGCCCTTTTCCCTTTACCCTCTCCATTCGGAAAATATCAAGCGAAAACTGCTCACCCTTTCCTCAAAGTGGTGACGCACTTCTTTGCTCGCACGACCGGCACGAGGCTTAAGTTCCTTGGCCGCGGGGATCTTTGGCTTCACCGGCCTGGGTATCTTCCTCTTAGGCGAAGGGGAAGTTGAGCAATGAATTTGATCCTCAAAGATTCCAAAGCCCTGCTCCAGGCATCCGAGTGGGGTTTGGTGTGATGGGCCCAGACGGCCGGTTTGCATTCATCAAGATCAATACAAAGATAAATCGTATCTAGTAGCTTCTGGTTCCTAGTAGTACGGCCAGGAGCCCCTAAAAGTGTCCTTGCTCCTAGTAGCGATGCCCTTTGCTCCTAGTACCGTCCTATTGTTACTAGTAGCGATGCACTTGTTACTAGCTCCTATTTGCATTGAATGCCTCACATTGAGGTGCTCACGGGAGAGTTGGATCCCAATGACAAGAGCCGCACCACAGCCAAACGTTCCACAGCGGAGACGGCGAAGGACTCAGTCACATGCAAATGGTGCGAGGTTGATAAAGAATGATATAAAGATGTTTGAAAGGTGCACTGACAGAATCACAAGTCCAACCAGTCCAACTCTCCCGTTCTTCAGAGTTCAGGTGCTAGATGTCTTTACAAAGGATCCAGTGCAGGCGAGAAAACGGCATCCAGAAGCATCGCCTGTGTCATTTTTGGTCATTGTCAGGTGGTACGGGAAGAGAAGGAACGGAAAATGGCCGCTTCGCCGCCTGGCAAAATGAATGCAAGATGCTTATGTCAAGCCTGATGGCCTCCAACCTACTAGCGATGGCCTCCGACCTAAGCACGCATCTAAGGAGCAACACACCGTCCGAAGGTCTAGAGTAGCGGGAAAAGTGTGCGACCTGCGTCCACTTGCGTGACAAACATCGAGGAGTCCTCTTCAAGGAGTTTTGAGGTGTTTTCAGCTTGTGAATCAGCCGCCGTGTTGGCTGAATCAGCTGCCATGTCAGCTTTGCCGGTTCCTTGCCAATGGTCACATTGTAGGCTCCCCATACCCTTGGCTTCGAGCCGCAATCGATCAAGACCGCTTAGCCATGTGAAGCGCATTGCGCATATAGCGAGATCTTCAACAGATCGCCAGTGGAGATTGTGGATGGCCTGCGCCGCTGCAGTGCCAGGGAGTTTCCAGTACGGCTTTGGTTTGAGTACATTGGCTGCCTTAACCTTGTGCTGCTACTGTATTGTTGAAATATGTGAAATGCCACTGAGGCTCAATCAACGTGCCACAAGCTGGGATTTGCAGATCCCTGCATTTGGCACCAACTTCCTTTACGTGGTCTGCATTGGTTGCAATTTTATCTCCTTCAGGCTTGCTAGGTGCTTGGTTGGCACCTGTGGCCGTGTCCCGTTTGGGTGTCTCGGCCAAGAGTGAGAGGATAGATGCATGGAATGACAGTTCAACATGCATGTGAATTGATGTGAATTGGAGTGTTTGACTGTTCAACACATACGGATCCAACATGATCCAACTCTTCAGGACTCTTGAGATGTTTACGAAGTACGTCATTCTTTTTCATCATCTCTGGGCTTATCTTCCCTTTGGCCCACCACGTGTCCGTGTCCGCTTCGACAGCGACCGTTCCACTGTGGCTTTTCGCCTTGGGCCGTGTGGTGGGTGGCTTCGGCGCTGGTGCTGCCACGGTTTTCGTGCCACTCTACCTGGGGCAGCTGGCACCTTTGCACCTCAGAGGGGCCATCGGCAACCTCCATCAGGCAGGACTTCCCTAGGGCTACCATGCAATAATCATCCATCATCGGCATCTATCAGCATCTCTTGAAATCTGTGTCCAAAGATTTCCTTCCTCGTTTGGCGTCCTCTTTCGCATTCTGCTTCCACTGCGTAAAGCTGTCAACACTCTGTTGCAGGTTGCCATTGTCCTGGGGCTGTTGGTGGCACAGCTGGCAGGCATGAGTTTGACGTGCCCAGTACCTGGTGGGTGCCCACGAAAAGATTGGGGCAAATTTTGTGAAAGCATGTGATGGAACTTCCACAGAAAGCGCTCACATTGACCGAAGCGCAACTGCTTACACAGATGCTCACCCTGCACCACCTGTCACATCGTTGCAAAGCAAAACGTCAATGATTTGGGAATATGTTGCAATTACATCCGACATCCCTCCCACAGTAGACTAGAGAAGTACTAGAGATTGACATGGAGAAGGGATGGAGAGTTCGATGTGTCAGTAAGAAATTGATGGAAATTGCCTCATGGCGCTATGATTTAACTATATATGTTTAACTCATCAAGTGAGCAATTAACAAATCATCAATGCGCGACATACAGCCATCCTTTCATGAAGCCGCTGGGACTGCAGTTCATCTCAAGATGTGGCAGGTGCCTTCCTCCCATGGCCACAAGCACTACAGATGGCTGCCGTGTTTGGAATGATGCAGTCACTTGGCGTAACACATCGGAAATACTAGAGGCGTGCCCGGAGCATCCAATCATATCCAATCCATCCTAGCAACATCCAGGTTGACAAGGTGTGTGCTTTGACTACAACCTGCACCCTACGAATGTACATACCCGCAATCTCTTCACAGAACTGAAATTGGCTTGACCCTGCTGTAACTGGCCCGGCTATGCAATGCCAAGGCTGTGCCTGATACCTTTTCTCAGACCAGTTCCTGACGCTGTCAAAAAGCAGGACTTTCAGGTCACTGAAATCATGTGACGGCCGTTGAGAGGGTTGCACCACAAAGCGGATACACATTGCAAGCTGAAGAAGCTGAAGCAAATACAATCAGGAGACGGAGCAAAAAGGCTTTGGAGCTCTTATCAGAGATCCGCAAGTACGGCGACCACTCTGCATGGCAGTAAGCCTCATGGCTTTGCAACAGTACTGTGGCATCAATGGACTCTTGACAGATACAGTGAGGCCATATGTGGATTTGTTATGACTTGTTTATGTCAAGTGATCAACCAAGGAGTGTGGTACTACAGCACGGAGTTTTTTCACCGAAGTGGGCCTGCCCCATCCACTAGCAGGCACTCTTATCTCTGCAGTGATCTTCATGGTTGCAACGCTGGCAGCTGTGCCACTCATCGAAAAGGCACTGCAAAAATACTATGGCAAAACGAGAGGACAAAGACCGCGTTGTGCAAACTTAGAAGCACACCAGATTTGGTGTTTTGAGTGATGGGTTGTGGCTGATCGGCAGATAGCACCCAGACACAAAAAAAAGACTATAAAGTATAGAACATCCTGCTCCGAGGTTTGTGTTGAAAAGTGTCCGGCCGCCAGGAGGCTTCCCATAATCACACTTTGATAACCCCCCAACAATTCATACAATTTATTGTTTTGGAATTATGGGAGCCATCATCTGGAGCTGTCATTTGGAGCTGATGTTTGATGAGACTGTGAGGCAGGCCGTCGCAGTTTGCTTCTTCGTGGGCAATTGGGAGCAGCTTTCTCGTTGATGTTTCTCACATCCTCCTTGATTGCCAAGTCGGTTGCCTGTCGTGTGAGGGCAGATCAACAGTAAGGGCCTGATAGAACTGTGGGGAAGGACTTTGGGATGTGGACATGTGGCAAGTTTCAAGTTGAAGGTTTCTTTCAAATGCTCACAAGATCTCACAAGGTTGGCTTAGGCACAATGTGGACAACACAACTCGCGCTGGCAGCGGTGATCAGCTTCGTGGTATCGTTTGCCATCAGTCAGAGCCTTGGGGGAAGACTTGGGAAGACCACCGAACGCAAACGGAAAAATCGACGTGTCTCAAAGAGCGTCCTTGTTCTAGTAGCGATGCCAGGAGCCCCTAGTCGCGTCCTTGCTCCTAGTAG